GAAAAGGAGACGGTGTGTTGGGAAAACATTCTCTGTAACTTCATACACATAATATAAGAAACCATAACATACAGTCATCGTGCACTCAATACATTTGTGTGTGTGTGTGTGTGTGTCAGTGTGTGTCAGCATATTCACATGCTATTATTCATGTATACTCTTCAGTGGTGCCACATGATCTTACAATGGTTGATCTTGTGTCTCGTAGGTGCCAGAGGTTGATCCCAATGCACAGCTGCTGCAGCCTCCTCCGCCCATCAATCCTCTGGACACCAACTGGCCTCTGCTCACTGTATCAAAGGGCTTCTTTGAGGGAGCCATTGCAGCAAAGGGTGAGTCATGACAAATGCCTTGGTGAAGATAAACATATGGATATACTGAAGAAAAAAAAAAAATCCAGAGTAGGTAATATTCCTTCAAGGTTTCATTCATTTGATCTTTTTTTACAATAGAACCAAGAACAAGGACTGAAACAGTTATTTATTTTTCTTTAATTAAAGGCAAATATTTAGTTGTGACAGCTTAACAAAAAGACTTGTCCCAATATGCATCACCTTTTTACATCTTTTAAGATGTTTATATTGAACAGCAAAGCAGCATTATGTTATATTAGTTGTAGCTGGTGTAGCAGACTTTGCCAGAGTGTTCACAGTGTTGTTCTATTGTAGGTAAGGCAGGTCAGATGGCTGCCGACTTGGACATGGAAGCTCCAGGAGGTGAAGGATGGGGAGATGATGCTGAGCTCCAGCTGGATGAAGGTAAATTCACAATGAAATTAACAGTAATTTGTTAAACTTCACCTTTCAGTGAGCAGATTGGACCTGGTTACAAAAAATTTGTCAATACTTACCTTTCCCCATGTTTTTTCTCAGATGGCTTCATGGATGCTCAGGAAGGATTAGGAGAAGAAGGAGTTGGGAAAGAGGAGGGAGGAGGCTGGGAGGTTGAGGAGGACCTGGACCTTCCTCCAGAGCTGGTGAGAGCAGCTGCAGCATTACTAATCCAACCACCAGTAATGTCGAGCTAACACAAGAGAACACAAGCACTGATCAGACTGTCAGCTTTAAGTGTTCTTAGAGGTTACCTTTTACATTCAAAGAAATGAAACAAGCCACTGAGTTACATGTTGTACTAACCGACAAGTTATCTCTGTGCTTTGCATTATATTGATAGTTAAGGGTAAATACTCACATTTGATTGTCTTTCCTCTAATCAACAGGACGTGCCGGTTGGTGCAGGTGGAGGAGCAGAGGACGGCTTCTTCGTTCCGCCCACCAAGGGCATGAGTCCGACCCAGATGTGGTGCAACAACTCCCAGCTGCCAGTGGATCACATCCTGGCTGGGTCCTTTGAAACTGCCATGAGAGTGAGCTCACATTCTGAGTTATTGCTTTGTTGGTTTCATTTTTTCAATATAGACTATGGGTGTATGATGTAAGGAGAATGAAAATGATTGCATTTTTCCTCTTTATACACTAAACTGTCACTTATTGTTGCTTTTTTTCACCCACAGCTGCTCCATGACCAGGTTGGAGTTGTGAGCTTTGACCCCTACAAGTCGCTGTTCATGCAGACACTGTCCAGAGGACGCACCTGTTACCTGGGACTGCCTTCCCAGCCCTGCCTGCGTAGCCATCCCCAGAGGAACTGGAAGGTACAGCTGTTAGCTTTGTGGATTTATTTCAAAGTGTCTTGTGGGATATCAGCTGTTTGAAACGTTCTTTCTAGTTTTATCTGTGATGATAAATGTGCTCCTGACCCACATTTGTTCCGCCTTTTCCTTCTCACACTTTTTCATCGATTTTAAGAGCAGATACTCAAGTATTTACATTTTTCTAGGACTGTGGGGCGAAGCAGGGCCTGCCTGCTGTGGGTTTGCGCCTCTCCGATCTCATCGCCCGCCTGCAGCAGTGCTACCAGCTGACCACGGCCGGCCGGTTTGAGGAAGCTGTCGAGCGCTTTAGAGCCATCCTGCTGTCTGTGCCTCTGCTGGTGGTTGATAACAAGCAGGAGATTGCTGAGGTGAGAAACAGGCCTGCTTTAAATGTGACGTGTTTAATCTTCAAGTCGTGTATAAAGATTACAATGGAGTTTGCTTATAGGCCCCCGTGACTTTCAGATGAAGAAATTTTGTTGACATGCAGGTACATATCATGATATTTTCAACTGTCTTAACTGTGTTTCAGGCTCAGCAGCTGATCACTATTTGCAGAGAGTACATAGTGGGTCTGACTATGGAGACCGAGAGGAAGAAGTTACCTAAAGACACTTTGGACCAGCAGAAGAGGCTCTGTGAGGTAAAGACCTGACGTCACCTTAAGCTGTTGATGTAAACTGACTAAATATCACCGAAACCTGCCAAAATGTGTCCATGAATTAGAATTTATACTTCAGTTGTCTTATATACATTGTCATTTTCTTGCAGATGGCGGCTTATTTCACCCACTGTAACCTGCAGCCGGTCCACATGGTGCTGGTGTTGCGTACTGCTCTGAACCTCTTCTTCAAACTGCGTAACTTCAAGACAGCCGCAGGCTTTGCGCGACGCCTCCTCGAGCTCGGACCGAAGCCAGATGTGGCACAGCAGGTTAGATTTTTTTGTGACATTAAATGTTTAAATGGAGAGCATCCTTCTGTTGTATGTCTCTTACCATCATATTAAATATCTCCCTGCCATTCAGACCCGCAAGATTTTGGCCGCCTGCGAGAAGACCCTGACGGATGCCCACCAGTTGAACTACGACCCCCACAATCCATTTGACCTGTGCGCTGCCTCTTTTGTCCCCCTCTACCGTGGACGCCCTGTTGAGAAGTGCCCTCTGTCTGGGGCCTGCTACTGCCCCCCTTACAAAGGCCAGATCTGCAGGGTCACACAGGTACACCAGCACAGCCACTTATCCTTCAAAATAATAGACTCCATTTCTGTTGTACTCATCAGTCACAAAAAGAGGAGAGAGAATGGTCTCAATTGTTGTAAACAGTTGCGTAATTTTATTTTGTTGTTAATGAAGTACAAGTTTAAGCACACAGCCAGTATCCACTTTATTATCCAGCAACTGTTCTGCCACAAAATCTACTTCTCAAAGACACCTGTCAATTTAATGTAGCCCACTACAACAAAACATTAGCTATAAACTCAGTTATAAACACAACCAAGTGTCAGCAAAAACTAAAAGCTTCATAAATAGAAAATATATGGTAGGATTTTGAAAACATTTTATGGTTTAAGGACCCCAAAGAAAATGGAAAAAGAAAAGCTGGCATTTATTTATGTTAGACAGTATTTGTTGTCAGATCAGGGCGTTGTCTCACACATTTGTAAAACTCTTTATTTGTGTGTTATATACCATGTGTTTTGTGTGTTGACCCCAGTGTCTCTCCGTACAAAGTCACAAATCAAACGCAGACTTTAGTACAGTAATCTAAACTACTGGAATCTTAAAATACTGTTTTTTTTATGATAACTTTATTTGTATAGTTCTTTCAAATACATGGGTTTACAAAGTGCTTTGACAGACGAAGCAAAAGCAGGAAACCCAGAAGACAAAATACCAACTGGAAGCCAGACAGTAAAGACAAAGTAAAAACTGGAAGACAAAAAACACTGAAGCAAAATGTCACTAGTAAATATAACATGAAGCAATAAAAAGATGGCATCACATAAAAGCAGGTCTATGAAAATAAGATTTAGGAGGTGAATTAGATTCTGTGAGCCTTTTCTCCTCAGGCAGACAATTCTGCAGCATGGCCATCTTTAGGTTTAAGCTTGAAAACGCCAGAAGCTACCTGAGGTATGGCTTTGGTAATGGCTAAGAGTTGGCTTATATGGGGGTCGTCATTTCCGTTCTGTTCTAAAACCAAAAGGGAAACTATGATCAGAGTGATGAGATGTTTTCTGCGAAAGCCAGTATAATGCTGAGCTGCTGCATTGTGAACCAGTTGCCAAAAAGGAGAGAGTTGCTGGTGTTCAGTCATCCAGCTGTTATTATGTTAATTATGAGACAAAATCCAGAAAAGGAATTAGGTTAGTGACTCTCTTTGTTGTGGTTTTCCGTATGTCTCTTCTAACTTTCACTGTGGCTTTATTTTCTAGGTGACAGAGATCGGTAAGGACGTGATCGGCCTGCGTGTGAGTCCACTTCAGTTCCGTTGAGACGGCAAAGAAGAAGATGCTCAGCGAAACACATCCACTCTTACTCTGTAGAAATAATACAATTATCGGCATGAGAAATGAAAGCAGAGATATATATATATATGTTTGCTCACAGTGATATTAAACATCTTTAATCCTTTCAGCTATCTTCTCCCATGCACCACCTAATCCTACAAAAAGCTTTTCCTTGTAAGCGCTGCTTCGTCAATGCTGTGTGCTTTATTAGAACTGTAAAAACCTAACTGTTTTCTCTTTTCTGACTTGTATGACATGAATCATTCAAACTGTGCAGCAGTGCTCCGTGTATCTGGAAAAATTAAAATTAAAGTCCCTGTTGTGGCATTTTGTGTGTGGGCGAGTGTTTCTGTGGTGTTTTTGATGTGGAAGGAAAGTGTGAAATCTGTGCAAGTGACATTGAATACATTGAAGGAAGATGGTGTTGTAGATAGAAATGTGACAAGCAGGTGGGACGCCCTGGTAGGTCAACTGGTTGAGTGGTCAATTCATGAACAGGGGCTGTAGTCCCTGGGGCAGACGTCCAGTCCATGACCATTTACTGCAGGTCTTTCCCCACTCTTCCCCCCCATATTTCCCAAGGCCAAGAAAAAATAGATATATGTTAAAAAAGAAAAAATAAAGAAAACAAGTAGGTGGAATGGGAGGTGTAATATGCACACAATTATTTTGTTATGATATGTGTGTGTTTAGCTGATAGGAAGTTCATCTTTAAAAATACAGAACTTTTAATAGTCCCTCCTCCGAGATCCAGAGCTGCCATTTTGACTGGGTCCCTTCTGGAGAGCGGAACCAAACTGCGGAACCCGGACGCTTCCCATGTCAACACTTCCTGTTGTGTTTTTTTGCTTTTCGAACCAGGAAGATGGATTTGCTGTCGAACAAATGGATTATTAATTTGATAGTTTGTTTGTTTTCCGTCGGTAAGTCGCATTGTCACGTTGCCGAGCTTGTGTCTCCACATATCTGTCAGTGACCGAAGCGTGTTTCGCCGCCGGGCTGTTAGCTTGGTGGACTTCTTTGTGCTCGGAGCTAGCTGGATGCTAAGCTAGTTAGCGTTAGCAGAAGCTGCCCTGTCTGCCTTTAATCTCCACTGCCTGCTTTTTATACAAGTTTTACAATGGAGTTACGTTTTGTAGTAATTCTAGAGACATTTCCACTAAGTCGAAGTTCAGATATAACCCCATGTCTCTTTTTATTAAGCCTTTGTGTTGACTTTTCTTCAAGTCAGCCTCAGATTGGGTTTGCCTTCTTCTTAGGAGCAACTCAGCATCAGCGTGACTGCTCGTGATTTCCCTGCGGCCGCCCGCAGCTCCAACGATTTCATGCTTGATCGTCATACCAGATTACATATATATTTTTGCAGTTTAACGCTACTTTGATAGTCACCTGATGTACAATTTACGTAAACCGAAAGTGAAATTTCTTTCGCATATTTAGGGTGTCCCGGTAAATTCGGCATACAAGTGAACCAGCAAACAGTTTGGATTACAACAATTTACCAGCTTGTCTTTTTGCTGCTTTGTGTAATTTGGCTTTGAGAACAACAGGTGAACCAGACTAAACATATATATTTATGTTTCCTTGTTGGATAAAAGTTAGAGGAGTGCCTTTTAAGAGATCAAGTAAAATGTCATCACTCGAGCCTCCCTTCAGTATGTGCAGTTCTGTGAATAACGTTTAGCACCAGAAATAAAGCCACGAGTAGCTTTCATTCATCAGTTCACTTCATACAACATGCAGTAAACACGGCAGCTTTTCAAGGTGTTTTCCAGGTAATTTACTGCGACCATCTTAGATATGTGCTAACATCTCTAGATTCATTCACTTCCTGTACCGTATCAGGACTTTATGGAGGCCAAAGCAAATATTTAAGCTCTCTTTATTTTCCTTGCTGCTGAACATTGTTCTTCAGACTCTGGCTGTATATTTGTATTATTGTCACGAATGAATTATGTGTGATTGCATACTTTCCTGATGATGATGATGATGGATCCAAAGGTCTGAAAAAGGCCTGCCCAGTACTGTATATTAGTTCGGATGCAGCACTAAAATGCTAACATTTCTAAAGCAGTTAGCGGTAATACAATATATGATATATAAGACAGAAGCTAAGCAATATTATTTCTTGGAAAGTCATTTAATTATGATTTCCGATATTGATTATGTCCATGTGAGAACCTGCTAAAAGCAAAAACCTTGTTCGAACACGCTCCTAAGACACTAAAAAGGCAGACGACATAAAATCAGTCTGTAAAAAGTTGTAAGAGAAACATATCATCTTACTAAATTTCTAAGACTTTGAATGAGAGCAACTGTATTGTAAGCAATTTCCCCTCAAGGATCAATGAAGTATTCATGATTTTGATGCTGATTCTGAAGTGATGACTCAAATACCATTTTGTTATGGAACAATTTGTCACCACGTACTGTGAATAATTCCTGACTAAACCTCTGAAGGTCCCTCTTCCTTTATACTGTTTGATATTGTCTAATAGTCAAAAACTAGAGGCTCTTCCACATTAGGTTGTAAAAAGGAGTTTCAGTGCCATTGCCATGCCTGGAAAACTGTGTTCTTTTAACATTTTTACAAAATCATGCTGATGAATACAAAATGGCAGCAGAGACGACTCGAAAAATGTAAGAAAGTGCTCTATATTCTCTTTTTTTATTATTGTTCTCCTTCACTCGGAGGCTAGATCACCAATTTTTTTTAAAATCATTCACATTGAAGACAAATAAGACATGAAACACTGATGAAGATGTACCTAAAACATGTCACAGTCTTGTGTCTAACATTGTGTGTTTTTACTAGTGAGACATAAAAGATTAAACTTTCATTCGAGGTTTTGCGAACATTAAATTTGTGTCACCATTGCCCGACCCTCGATGTCTTTCTCTGATGATGAAATGTTTTTTTCCCCTTGCAGGTGTCAGCTGCAACTCAGTGGAAAAGAAGATTTATGTGCATCTCAATTACACAGTCCCTTGTGTGCGGCTGCTAAATGCAACACATCAAATAGGCTGCCAGTGTGAGTAAAGCCCCAGTTCCAAGTGATTCTTACTATTATCGGCACAATTGTACAAAGGGAATGTAACACTTGTGATGGGTAAAAGTACTTGTTGCAGTTTGTGGTGTCTTATTTGTGTCCTCAAGCCCTTTACTGTGTCTCTCTTTGAGTGTTTCCTTTTTTGTAAAATGCTTAGTACACAATCTACTAAAAGCGGTGTTTTCTGTGTGGTTGCTTCAGGCACTTCAAGTGTGGAAACACACACTTGTGTGGCTTGGAAATGAGTTTCCAAGGATGAAAGCACGCAGTAAAATAAACATTTTCTGTGATAACCATCTGATTATCAAAAGGTCTTACAATAACAGCATGCTTTTGCCAAACTACAAAAGCCCCATCAGCAGCAGTTTTGTCACTGCTAGATAAAAACATTTCATTCCGAAACCTTTCCATTAATGGAGAAGTGTTGGATACACATGGATCAACAAGCTCTGAGGACAGTTATATCCATTACAGCTGTCGTGCTGCCACAGATGCTGATATTTTGTTTCCTCTTTCGGGTTTCAGCCTCTTTGTCAGGTGATGTGGGTGTGCTTCATGTGCTCCAGTCAGAGGAAAACCTGGACTGGGTCCTGAGTTCTGGTCCCAATCCTCCTTATATGGTTATTCTGGAGTCCTCGCTGTTTACCAGGTACAGTTAGACCCTGCAGAGGAAACACTCACACTTCCTAATGAGATTAAATCTCACTCTCTGAAACTGTTGTTGATTTACCAGAAATTTGTTCTTAATTTTGCATCTTCTTATAAAAAACTGAGTATTTTTCAAATTCCAGTCACTCAAAAACTCATCAGTTGTGGATTAACTAATAGTGAAAAAAAGCATGTCTTTCAATTCTTAAACATTTTTTCTGTGTAGTAAAGGAGATGGAAAGCAGCCTGCCATCAGCTCCGAGCTGTCAGTGTATAGTGCAATAAATTTGTCATATCCTACTTGTTGAGCCCCTCGGGGAAGAAACTTGAACCACATTTCAAAAGAATGCAACCCATTTCTGACCTGTATTTTTACCTGTATCATTTCGTGTGCCCCGTGCCGCCTGTCTGCCCTCCAGATCCGTCGCGATAAAGCTGAAGAACGGCTCCAACAGGGTGGCCGGCGTCGTGGTGGTGGCGCCGAGCACAAATCCAGTTGAGGGCTTCTCTCCTCACACCTCCTGCCCCAACGAGAACTCAGGTGGGTGGGAGTTCGCCTGCTAAGACTTGCCCCTCTGCATTACACAAATAAATTGTAGGTTGAGGATTGTCGGAGGGCAGAGCTTGTAAAATCAGGATGTTAAGTTTTTAGGTTCAGTAATTCACTTCTGAAACAATCATGTTTGCCCGCAGCAAAGATTTAATGTCTCGTCAGTTTGTTATGTCTGGGGGAGAAAGCAGTTTTTACATCTTTTATTGAAATAGTTAAGTATAAATTAAAACAATAGAAAGTTAAAGTCCTGAAATTTAGAGCTCTAAGGTAGTTAAAGTGAAAAGATATTTTTAGCAAAGTACTTGTTTTTGAACAGATGTCCTCCTGTACATTATGTGACAACATATAATGTATTATATGACTATTTGATTGGTGTTATTGACATATTCAATTCAATTCAAATAACTTTATTCATCCCCTAGGGACTTTTTAAATGTATGCAGCAGTTTAATTTTACAGATGGTCAAAGTGGAGCTGTATTTTAACTACTATACTACCAGACACTTTATTAGGTACACCTGTGAAATGTTTTGTAATTAACTTATATAAGGGAAGAAAACTATAACTCTTAAATGTGATGCTGTCCACTGCAGCAGCGCTACAACCCACTGAGACCTCGATAGTGAACATAAAATAGAATAATCCCCTTTCTGAGCAAAAACAGAAAATGTGGAATCTTTGTAAAAGTAAAATGTATGTTGTATATTTGATTACATTAGATTTCGCAGGTGAGTTTGATTTCTAAACTAATCATAGGTATTTTATGTATAATTTTAATATCAAAAGTAACTAGAAAACCCAGCTGCTGCAAAATGTCTCTAAAATGTGGTGATGTAAAAGTAATTCAATAGAAAATAAGACATAGTCAAGATAAATATATATATATATACCTAAACATTGTACATAAGTGCTACACTTGAGGAAAGATAGTTTTTTTTTTTTAAGTCAAATGCGACAGGTCACACAGTTCGGTGTCTTTAAAGCTAATTGTTTTTTTTTATATTATCAGACTGAATTTCGCTTTCACAGGCAGTTTTGACACCAAACGATAAAATAGTCCTTCATGTTAAATTATTAAACATGGATTGTCTTAGGGGGTAGAATCTTTTATAGGCAATTTTGCTCTTTTTTTTTTTTAAATCTCCTATTGATATAAGATGGCCTGAAAGTTCAGGCAGTCCACACTTCTTTTCGGCTCTCTTTACCGTTGCTGCTGCTGATGTTTTTCCTCAGGCGTTTATTCAGAGAGCTACGACCCGGCGTTGGCCCACTGTAAAGAGACAGTTTGGAACCCTCTGGGAAACGGTTTGTCCTACGAGGAGTATGACTTCCCCATCTTCTCCCTGAAAGACGACAATGACACCGCTGTCATCCGACAGGTAAAAGGGAAATCAGATATTTTTTCTTTTAATCCCATTTCATGCTGTTTCCGCTGCACAAGATGTCTGTCTCGACTGTTTTCCGCTTGTCTTTGATACTGGAAAGTGTAGCTCTACTGCAGATAGTACAGCCACAATAAAACTTGAGCTGAACTTGCCTCACCGGTGGTTGAGATTAGGAATGACGCCAATAAAAGCAGCAGCACTAAAGATCCACGTCATTGAGGGCATGTTGTGGCGGATTATGTCGAAACGTTATGACAGAACCCACAAATTATTACCTGCTTTCCTTCCCACATATGTGACAAAATCAGACCAGAATAAACTGATTTTAAATACAGTCTTGCGCTGAAAATCAAATGTGCGTATTCATGTTTTCACAGACAGATCTGCTGAGTTCAGCGTGAGTTACGATTTTCAGGCCTGTTTTATCAGCTGTGAGTTTCAGCTCACTGATGCTGGTGGACTATAAATACGAACTGCAAAACTCGCTTCACTGCATGTAAAGAACTATTTTAATGACCCAGTTCAGAGGCTGTGTTCATGTTTATTTGTATGATTTGCTTTCTGCCTTTGATAAGATGTCAGGGTAGATGATCTGTAAACAGACATTTTCAGGTTTGCTCCCTACAGCAGCGACTGTATTAAAGGTGATAAATTAAGTCCCAGACAGTAGTTACAGCGTTTCTGCCCTCAGACCTGCCAATGTGCCCCTGAGCAATAGCACCAAGCATCAACTGTGTATGTTCTAACTTGTTCCAACAATTCAAAAATGTTCAAGATGCTAAAATATAGTTGTGGTTTCTGTATTTGTAAAAAAAAAAAAAAAAAACCCACACACGAAGATAATTTAGACGCATGCCTTTCTCTTCATTCACAGTGCTACCTTGATCATAACCACGCTGTGAACGGCAGCAGGCCTCAGTATCCACTGTGCGCAATGCAGCTCTACTCCCACATGTCTGCCGTCACCGACACGGCCACCTGCATGAGGAGAAATGACATCAACTTCAGCATCAGCCCAGGTATTTACACAAGATAAGAACATTCTCAGAACCCAGCAAGTCTATATTTCATCTAACATTCAGTCTGTGGCACTGTTTTTACAATACGTGGCGTTTTCTGAGTCAGGACATCTATTTGAAGGAGTGTGATACTTCTGTGTGTTTTAATGATTTCTAACCACAGTTCATATTTGGTGCTTGTTCCTTGTCTCTCTTTAGAGATGGTGTGTGACCCGCTGGGTGACTTTAACGTTTGGGCCTCCACCAAGCCTCTGAACAACACCGAGAAGGGCCACAAGATGGGGGAGAGTGTGGTCATCGCAGCAGCCAGAGTGAGTTTGTGGAGTTGGAGTTCAAGCAAGAGTGATAGAATAGACTAGATCAGTGTTTCTATAGTCTGACTCACTAGATGGAGGTTGCAGGTGGAAGCTTGCCATTGGCCAATAATCTCAGTCGGCATTCTCCTCCTGTTCCGTTGTCTTCCTGTTACAATGACAAGCTGTGGCCTGGAACCTACTGGACTGACATTAAAACTGAAACTGACAGTTTTGGGTGGATTGCCCGTTTTAATCACAGTGTTTCTCTCCCTGCATGCAAATTTTCCATCACCACAATCACAGCCATCACCTTTTTTAGTGGAACAGCAAAGCCGCATCCTTCACTTAGCTCTGCCCATGACGACTGTGATCCATTAAAAAAAAAACAAAAAAACACACACTCACACAAACAAACGTCGGAGTGTTTTTTCCCCCTCTACAGCAGAATGATGATGTGATGCAGCCAGACCATTTTAATGCTGATGCTCGTTTGAATTTGAGACCTCAGTCTGTGTTGACTATTAGTAACCAACTTTTAGACAAAACTTCAAATCATTCTTTGTTTCCAGCTTCTGTAATGTCAGGATTTTCTATTTTTTCTTTTATCCGCTAGTGAACATCTTCAGGTTCTGGATTTATTGTGTGTTTCTGACATTACAAACAAAACGATTAATAACTGCTTAAGAAAACTTGCTGTTAGTTTTAGCCTTACTGAACACAGAAATCCATGATACTGTCGATAAACCATATTTTAAATAGAGTTTTTGGTCACATTTTGATTTATGGCTAATAAAACGGGTCACAGCAAGTAGAACTGACCTACTTATCCAGATATGATCTCTGCTGAATGCCTCTCGCCTCCTGTCGTCTCTGCAGCTCGACAGCAGGTCCTTCTTCTTCGACGTCGCTCCGGGAGCAGAGAGTGCATCTTCAGGCTTCATCACCCTGCTGGCGGCTGCACACGCTCTGCGTAACGCCACCCAGGAGGCCCCACCCAACCGCACCATCCTCTACACCTTCTTCCAAGGGGTCAGTTCTTTCCACACAGTTGCACTCACCACTGTTCCTTGCATACAAGCCAGATTTGAGTTAGTCCTGCCAATCTCGCTCATGTTTTTGTGCATTTTCTTGACTGCAGGAAACTTTCGACTACATCGGCAGTTCGAGGATGGTGTACGACATGGAGAATAATCAGTTCACTGTGGACCTGGACAATGTTCACTCAGTGCTGGAGATTGGACAGGTGTGTATTACAGACTTCACTGGAACCTCCTACACCAGGTTTTACTCAAACCTACCAGATTTAATCTGCTTTTACTTTAAATGCTTTTATTGGACCATTTTTAAAATGAACTTAGATACATGTCTTGATGTTTCTTGCCCCTTGAAGTCAGATTTACCTATGATGCAAACATAAATGTGCCTATACCTTGTATCTTTTACCACTATGCACGGATGTTTTACGCTATGTTTATGTCTTTGTGTCTGTAATATATATTTATGTTGAATTTTTACATCCAGGTGGGACTCCGTGCCAACTCCAGACTCTGGCTTCACTCTGATCCTGTTTCTATGAGAAACAGCAGCGTCAATGAAGAGGTTTGTGTTCGTGAATATATGAGAATTTTCCTTAATTATATTTCCAGTGTAGCTAAATATTCCTCAACAAAGATGTTGTGATTTGGAGTTATTGGCAAAAATAAAATGTCACCACATCACAACAGGAATCAGTAAACAAATACATAGTGTATATGAGAGATTAAAACATTAGGAAGTTCAAATGTTCCATAAATTATAAACATTGTCTGTAGATAACAATGGAAGATGAAATTCAAACTAGAAGTACTTTATACACTGTGTACAAATATTAAAATATACAAGTGTTGAGTCTTGTTGACTCACAAATAGCTGTGTAGTTGTATAACAAAGGGGAGGATAATTAAGTTGACATGAATAAACACAAGAACAGCACTGTTTGAACTGCTTTAGATAACTATTGGTTGAACCAAACACAAAGCACCATTCCTATTTAAAATACACTGTAATGTAAATTTGCAAAAACTTTAATTTTCAGATTGTGAAGTTGAGATTTATGTGGTGACATTAACCCACTGTACAATAATAATAATAATAACAATAACAATAACAACAATAATAATAATAATATCATTATTCATGGCCAAAACCGACTACTAAAAGTGCAGAGAGCAAGTAAAACAATAAATAGTAAAGTTCAGGGATAGACTGTTGACCAAAGTCAATGTAGAAATCTTATATCCAGACATTTTTCTAATGATCTGGGAAATCACTGAACTGTGCAGTATTCCAGCGAGCATGTGCCTTGTGAATGTGCAAATGGCAGTAACATCTCTTTTTTCTTGAATCTCGGATAAAAGAAGAGACGATAAAGATAAAACTGGAGCTCACAGTGTGTGCATACAACATTCAGTTTTTTAAAATTTCCTTCAATCATCTGTTTCAGGTGAGGAAGCTCATCAACAACCTGCAGTCGGCTGCTACAAGTGTAGGCATCCCAGTCGCAGAACCCGGTGTCTCTCAGGCGCTGCCTCCTGCGTCCTTCCAGCGCTTCCTGCGAGCTCGGCCGATCCCCGGTGTTGTTATCGAGAATCACCAGTTTAACTTCACCAACAAGTGATTTGATGTTATTTTTTAAACCAAGTCAAGTTTAATTTATAATCAAGGGATTTGTTGTGTTTACTAATTTGCTTTTCTGTTCTGTGTGCAGATACTATGAGAGTATGTATGACAACGCAGAGTATCTGAGCATTTCTTACCCACCAAACCTGACGCCGGAGGAGCAGCTGGAGTTCGTCACTGAAACTGCAAAGGTAGTATAGTTGTTGCTTGTGGTGATTTTATGTAGCAAAATCCACCTGAATCCAACAAACTGGTCACTGGTCTTCTGATTTTTAGGTTGAAAAGCGAAAAAAAATCCAACGTATTCTTAACTGTATGTTCTTAACTTTTGTGAGATATAAGCCATGCAGTTGAAGAGTCATGTTTTATTGTTTGAGATCATTATTTCAGGGCTTTGGCTGTAAAAACTCTCTTTATCTGCTTTTATGTGTGCAACTTAAGTTGGTGTATGTCTGTGTTGTAGAATAAATACAAATGCTGAGGTGAAAATACAATCGAACCAACAACATTTGCAGCTCAAATAGGATGCAACCATCAGCTTGTTTACTTTTTTTTCTTGACATTTCCTGAGTGAAAGCACATTCACAGTTGTTCTAACCACAAATGTACCATTTTTCCTGCCAACTAAGGTAAAAACAGGTTATAAAACTTCACAAGAGTCTCGTATTTTACATCTTTATTAAAATATTTAGTCCCTGTGTAGAGTTTTGACCAGCGGTACTTCATCATGTGATCCCCTGAATGTTTTGCTCACTGCTCTGCCAGTTCAGATTGAACAAGAGATTAAAATATTTCAATGAAAACCTGTCCGCTCTCTCTACAAAGCTTCTCTTTAATTTCAAGTGTTGGACTTAATCCTGCCGAACATTAAAAAGATTTTTTATTTTTTTTGCTTTTGTCTGTGTGCGTCTTTCAGGCTCTGACTGAAGTGGCGACGATGGTGGCTCGAGCGCTCTACGTGCAGGCAGGAGGAGCAGAGAGTCAGATGAACAGCATAAACGCAGACCCTCAGATAGTAAGAAAGGGTTTATTTACAGCTGTCTTGTTCACAAGCTCAGTATTCTTCTATAAAGCACGTTTTCTTCTTCAACTCCACACTTTAGTTTGACTTGAATCAAAGACATTACTGCTGCTAATAATGTTTTAATGTAATATGTTAGTTGCTGCCATTCATTTATGCTCCTGTTTTATCCTTTACATTGGTCATATTTTCCATTTTAACTGTGTGTGATAAGCACTGATACTGAGTTGATTCAAAGCAACCTGTTTTGCCTCCTTCAAATTCTTGCACATTGCACTCTTCTGATTCTAATGTCTTTAGATTTTTTTAAAAATATTTTTGTTTTCTCATCAGGTGTATTTGTTTCATTTTCTACCATATTGTGTGTATTAATTGCAATTTATTCTGCTTCTTTCAGTGACTTGAAATTTCCTTATCAATCATTTTTATTTACAATAACTGAAAGACAAACAGGTGTAGGTTCCTGATCTGTATCTGTTATCTTGTGCAGCTGAGCCGAAGTCATTCTGTCTTACTTTCTTCTCTCAGGTGAGCCAAATGCTGTACGGTTTCCTTGTTCGGTCAAACAACACCTGGTTCCAGCAGCTGATACCCTCCGACCTCGCGAGTCATCTGAGTAAGTTAAACCTGTTTTCTACTGTACTCAGAGGAAATTGGTGGAAAATAAGGAGACAAAAGTGAACCTGCTTTAGTCGGGGTACTGCTTTTAATCACTATGTTATATCCTGACGCTACACTTCTTCTGTTTTGTTTCTGTTAGATGACAGACCCACAAACTTCTACGTCGGCGTGAGTCAGCAGTCGAGTGAGCCGACTCTTCTGGTCCAGTACCTGCTGGCCAACCTGACCGGCAGCACCGTCAACGTCACCCAGGACAACTGCCAGAACCAGAGAGTGGACGAGAACGACAAGGAGAGCAAACATGTGAGACATATAGCAGGCTGTGTTTTATTATGTCACCAGATTTTGCTTGATTTTTGATTTAAAATGAGGAAAGAAGTTGCAAAAAGCTCAGGAACATACCTGAAACTTAAACTTACCAACTCCACAGTGGAAATTAAGGAGTGTCTGGAGGAAAATGTCTAAAAAGTTGTTTTTTTAAATAGAGAGAAATGCCCATTACAGGTTTCTAGGATTAGGTCTTTGAATTATTGGACAAACTAATATTTAGTTTACTGTCACTTCAAACAAAGCCAAGCAGTATTTGGTTGGTAGGTTTAACTTAAAAAAATCATTTTAATGATTAACTAGCCATCAAAGTAGTTGCACATTTCATGTTTTCAATTTGTTAATGGGTTCAGTGAGACATTATTTCAGCTCTAGAAATGCTCTCAGCAAAAGTGAAAACTTGCAGTCTATGAAAACAGAGTTGACCATTTGAAGTATAAGATAGATTTACATATAGATTCATTCAAGAGTGCATTGTGACTCCTGTTGCCCTCTGTTGATATTAAGTAGGAATTGCACCATTGGCAGCCTTTTGGCACATGTTCCACTTCATTTATAAAAGGGTTTATTTCCATCTTCAACTCCCTGTGACCCTTCTCGCCCCTCTCCCTCAGACGTTCACCTACATGTGGGTTCAAGGCGCAGCGCCTCCCAACAGCACAGAACGGGCGGGTTTCTGCGTTCGCTCCACGGTCCGTCTCTCCAGAGCAGTGTCCCCGGCCTTCGAGCTGCGAGAGTACACCTCCAAAGATTACTCAACGTGGACAGAGTCCAGGTGGAAGAGCATCAAAGGACGCATATTCCTGGTGGCCAGTCACGAACTAGAGGTAAGGTTTCCCTTAAAGACGACGCCTGTAACTCACACTCACATCAGTGTAGTCAGACCTGTGAGCTGGATTTTAAAAGGCATGAAAATAAACAATTTGATGTTGATAGAGGCGATCAAAACCGTATTAAAACTACCCTGTTGTTTTTAGATATTTTGTCAGGGGTATGAAGACCAACTTGCAGTGACCTGAAACCTGCTCAGTAACTGAGATCTATCAAACTGAGTATCTTGTTCTCCAGTTGTTGTATTATGTTTGGACCTCGTGGTTAGTAGAGAGCAGGGAGTGTTTGGAGCCGTCCTTTCTTGTCGTGGCAGATAAGTGTTTCTGGGAACTGTTAGAACACCGCAAACAGACGATTTTTCGTTTTAACAATGTTTGCGTGTTGTTCCGCCTCTGACCCAGATTCTGTGACAATAGTGTTTGTGATTTCAGCGCTTTCAGGAGCCAAACACACCTAAACTAACAAGTTTCCAAAACAGCAGCCGTAAAGCAACTCTAACAACAAAATTAAAGCAGGATAAAGCTTGACAGTGATGGATCACCTGTCTTCAACAAGCTTCAAGTCTCGTCATGTCCGTGCTGAAACTAATTGAAACTCTCCATCTCTGTGATCTCTTAATTTTAAGCCACTGTGTGCCGACTTTTTTTTTTTTTGTTTACCAGATTATAGCATCTTACAGCTTAATCTGATGCCTTCAGTTTCTCCTGTTCATCTTATTGTAGCAGTAAAGTCACATATGTTGAAGTTCTATGTAATTCTGCACTAATTCAGTTTGTTTATTCTGTCAGTGTGATGTGAGATGAGGCCATTTTCCTTTTGACTTGTAGTTTTCAGTTTCTCTCTGATCTGTAGGAGGCTTTAGCGTCTCTCAGCTCACTTTTAGCTTTAATATTTTTATTTTGACAGTGTCAGGAAGGATTTCAGCTCTTAAAGTTAGCTGCACCCTTCCTGCTTAGCACCAAATGAAATAGGTCATAAAAAGCGCAACATTTATTTTCCTTAAAAAAAAAAGGTTTAGAAACTTTTTGTATAACTTTTCTGTATAAAACCAACACAGTGGGCTGCAAGGTGGATCGGTGCTTAGCACCGTTGATAGAAGGTCACCGGTTTGCGTCCTGGTGAGGACACCCGGGATCTTTCTGCGTGGAGTTTGCATGTTCTCCCCGTGCAGCGTGGGTTCTCTCCAGGATCTCCAGCTTCCTCCTACAGTCTAAAAACATGTTGAGGTTAATTGGTGATTCTAAATTGTCCGTAGGTGTGAATGTGAGTGTGCTTGGTTGTCTGTCTCTAAGTGTAGCCCTGTGATAGACTGGTGACCTGTCCAGGTGAACCTGCCTTCACCCTGAGTCAGCTGGGATAGACTCCAGCCCCCCATGACCCTAATGAGGATTAAGCGGTGTATAGATGATGGATGGATGGATGGCTGGAAACCAACACAGTGTTAGAAAACGTCTAAATCATTTTTAAAACTCAAGTAAAATCATATTGCAGTCAGTATACATGTAAAATCTAAAAGGGATGATTTGGGGAAAATAACTGAGCAAAACTCCACCTCATGGTCCTTTAACTTTTCTGGGATCTTCCTCTTTGTCCCCCAGATGTTGACGCTCGGCGTGGGTTTCGGCGTGCTGCTAACGTCCCTCCTCCTAACATACATCATCAGCTCGAAGGCCGACATCCTGTTCAGCTCGGGGAGGGAGCCCACCAGCGCCACCTACTGATCCACACGGACGGCGTCTCAGGCCCACGACCACTACTACTACTACTACTACTACTATTACTACTACTACTTCTGTCCCAACCTGACGTTGACGGTTTCCTTTTAAAACACACCACGCGTAGGTACACAGACAGGTTAGACTCATCCGCAGAGGGGATTTTTCTTTTTTTTTAGACGACGACGACGACTCCGTGTTTATGGACTCACTCAGGTGAGGCGTGACGTGAGGACTGGACTGGACTGGATTTGGCCTGGATGGATCTGGACTCATCAGGGCCAGAAAATAAAACCACTGGTCAGGCACCAGCGGGCCCTGCCAGTGGAAAAAGATGTTAATATTTCTTTTTGTTTTTTGTTTTTGTTTTTTTTCTTTTTATTGTCAAAGAATGTTTTGTTTACTGTGTCATGGGATAGGCACTAAACATGGAGCATTATTTTGAGTGCGTGTATGACTTTGAATATGTAAATGTGACCGCGCGCGTGTGTGTGTGCGATTCGGTGTGTACGAACAGTTGTGAGTGCGTGTGTGTGTGTGTGTGAACTTAGAGGATTGCGATGGTATGTGCAATACTGTAGCCGTCTTCTCTGTCGATGTAGTTAACTTATCAATCAGTTCTAATGATAAGAAACCACTTTCTGAGTCAGTGAACAAGTAGTGAAATTTAAATTTTAAGGTTTTGCAAAAATCTGGAAATGTTTAGTGAAGTATTTTGATAAGCTCCTGGGACGTTATCAAGAAAAAAAGTACATACGTGTATGTAGTTGTGGACCCACTGCAGTTTCACATATTGTGATATTTGAGTGGAGAAGAATTTTTTCCAAGAGTCTGGCGTTGCTGACAAACACTTTATTTTCTTCTCAGCTGCCAAAAATCTTTCAAAAACCAGTCAGAATAATGTTAAGTTTGGAATTGGAGGAGTTTTGACACTGAAAAGTGGCTGGTACTCTGGCTGTGCACTCTTTTTGGTTCGTACCTTTTCCCCCCCCCCACGAGGTTTTCTTTCAATGATGACTCCTTTAGAATTGTGACGACACACAAGGTTTTAATTCTGTTGTTGGGTGTTCATTTAATGGCTGGAATCAAAGACCAGGTTTGATGCCTTGATGCAAGAAATAAACATTGCTTCTTTTCCAACGTTTTCTTCCGCAGTGGTTTGAGCTGAAGACTGAAAACAAAATGCTGAGTTGTGTATAAAAGAGCCAAAAGAACCTGCAGTTAGAAATGAAATGAAGGTGCTTCGTATACAAAAATAAGTAAAGTTACTCCTTTTTTAATTTATAAAGCACATTTAAAACAGCAGATGTTGAGCCAAAGTGCTTTCTTGTAGAGAAATCAGATTCATGTTACAATTTACCTTCAAAATTAAGGTTAAGACTTTACAACATTATATATTCTACAAATTTATCTAATTTAAGTAATAAAATTGAAAACTTGCAATACAAACAATATAAAATGACCTGTCTAATATAAAGAATAGTGGTTTAGACCTTTCAAAATGATACGCTTTTATGTCACTGTTCTATTTAGTTTCTTATTCTGACATTTTCTCAAATCATCAGAGTAAGACAGGGAGGATATTATCCAGCTTTTATGGAGAATGAGTGATACTACAATACTAACATATGTTGCAGCAAGGACAAATAACACACAACAGAAACTTTTAACCAAAAAGCAGAACTGTTGTGGCCCTCTGATAAAGACTTCTTTGCCCTAAACATGAGTTATACAATAAGAGTAACCGAGGCCATCACTTACAGACTTTTTGTGGTATTTGAAGTGTCTTAATCTCTGTTTACAAGTTAAGCAAAGTAGCCAAATCACTCAGAGGAAGCCCACGGGTGTTGCTTCGGATGCATAAATGGGTATTTGCAAACCACAAGAAGTCTAAATCGCTGGCTCGTAAGCTTTCTTACCTTAAAAACCCCCCTTAAAATGAATCTGTCAACCTGCAACCCCTCATCACATGGAAAAGAAATAATGCTTTGTATTACCTCTACTGGATAGGAATGTGTGAAGCTCATGCTCTTGAAAGGTTTATCACCTCCACAGTCTTATTACAGAAAGTCTAGGATCATGTAAATACTTGAACTGCTGTGTAGAGAAAGGTTTGGTGTTAGTTTGAGGAGAGGGGATTTGTTCAGTGGGTTGTAAACACTTTGGTGATTTTCTCTTCTGAGGCATGTTTCACTGTAAAGTAAAGACAACAGGCAGGAAAAACAGAAAACTGTTCCTGACAATTTTCCCTTTTGCTCTAAAATTCAGGTTTTAAGATTTAAGTTTCAGTTTGTCTCGAGTTTATATAAACATCGTGATAATCAGCCCCAATCACAAACTACCTTTAGATGCTTTGAGTTTGCACAATATTTGGCACTTTAAACTGAAACACACACAGAAATCCAGTTAATGGTGAAAAAAATAACCTTAGAGGGAGCAAGTGAGGAGGGATCCTGCTTAAAGGAAAGAAGAATGGCACAGAAGTGGCAGTAATAGAATTACAGCATGGAGTCACTACACTCTGAGGAGTAAAGGAGAACTGAGGAGGAACCTTTTGGGGTTCCTCACCGTCAGAACTGAGGAGGAACCTTTTGGTGCACTGAGAACGTCCCAGAAAGATTTTGTGGGGTTTGATTTTGAGCTCAGTATTATTCTTGTTGTTGTCATTTTGTTACCCCAAACATCACATAAACTGTATTTTTTTATAACATTTAAGCAAACAGGAGCTCTGACATTAGTTAGATTTCTCAGCAGAAAGTCAAACTAGATCCTAATTTGCCCGACGACACAAAACCAGCATCTAAAACGTACATATCTCCAACATTTAAAGCTAGAAAATATAACTTAAAATATATTTTGTTTGTGTTTGTTTTTGCCAGTGTTGAAAAAAACGTGCCACTTCTAAATCTAATCTAAAATAAAGCACTATAAAACTGACAGCCGTGTTATTGTTTTTGGTTTAAAATGAACCAAACTCACCATTTTATACACGAAATATTAAAAAATTAAGTTTTGAAAATGAAATAAATGTAAGTGTAAATGCAGCTAACTCTACAAAAAATAAATAAACAAATAAATAAATAAACAGCTTCCTTCAGGAACCCTTCAAGTGATCAGGGTTCCTTGAGGTTCTCTTAATTCTAAGAGAGCACGTGACAATATTAAGTAAATTAAATTACCACCTTCCATCATACAGTATGATGGAGGATCTTATTTTGTGTTGTGAGTGAAATATTTACATTTTTAGTTAAAAAACAGGATCGTGGTGTAAAAGAAAAAGCAGCTGTTACAATGTCTTTGTGACTAAATGTGCAAATTATACATTTATTTTGTATTTTTTATATCTCCAGACATATAATGGAGGTTCAGTCCAGTGGATTGTAGTCTAATAATGAGTTAAATTGTTCTAACCTGTCAAATAATTTGACAAAAATCACTGCAAAACATTAAACACAATTAAAATAGACTTAGTGTAGGAGGTCAGTCACATTTTTTAAAATTTGAATTCCTTCATTTTTTTAATAAGTATTACAGAAAATAAGTGTTATTTGGCCTAAAGTGGGATTTTTTCCTACATTTTGCATCAGAATGAACTGTTACAGCCAAACTGATGATGTCTTTGGAGGATTTGTCCAACCAGCAGCATGTTTTGTGACATTATCCTTCTCAGTCCATGTCGGTGAGCTCACACACACGCACAGAGACAGAAACACCACGGTGTGGTAATAAACGCGTTGTGGATGGAGCGCAGCGCTTCGCAGGCCTCGGCCCCCAGGGGAAACCAGAGGAGGGGCCAAACTGGAGCGGAGGCGGGGCGCACGGTGCTACGGCTGAGTGGAAAGAAAGTGGAAAGTGGGAAAATACCTGAATGGACAATCTGGAATAAGTAAGTAGTATTTTTCACTGGAAAATGTGTTGAAATGTGTCCGCCGGTGCCGTGGATGCATGTGCGCTGCGTAAAAAGGCGGACGGAGCGGAGGGAGGAGGATTTGGGGCGCCGGAGATCTCCGGTTTCCCCAAACAATAGTCGAGAGGACGCGATGGTCGCCTTTTCTTTTCTTTTTTTTTTTTTGAAACCGCAGGGAAGTTTAGGACCCTCATCGGCTCTATTGTTGTTCACACGGAGGCCACGTAGCTGTGATCCTCAACGTGGAGAGGAAGAGAAGGCGCAGTTTTTTTTGTGTGTGTGAATGTAACTCGGAGGTGAAGCGGAGTGATGCGCCTGGAGGAGCGAAGCAGCCAGTTTGATTGTAGGCCGGAGGTTTGAATTCTCTCCGCGGCGGAGGACTGCTGGGAATTTCAGTGCGTCCATTCATTTACAGTCAAGGGGGAGAGGGGAGAAAAAAAAGGAAAAAAACGGGGAAGAAAGGGAGCGAGCAGTGGGATCATTTGGCATCAGGACGCGGCCGGTGGGGCCTGGGAGTCTCCCATTGTCCTGCCTGTCTACAACACCCTCCTTTCTCATTTTTTTTTGTAGGTCGCACAACTCTGTAGATTGGCCCTAAATGCTGCCGCTCCTCACAGTAAGTTGGCCCGTTGTGCATGTGGAATATTGCTGAATTATTGATGCAGCTCGACTCCTGATCCATGTCGGCGCAGCCTGCGGTGAGAAAATGTGTCCAAACAGCTTTCTGAGGTGGGCTGAAATTCAAAGTGGAGTAGTGTTGCTGCAGCAGAGAACAGGCCCTGATTGCCCCAGTGAGGGCTTCAAAATACCTGCTGGGTTTATAAACTTCACTTCACAGCGAAAATAAAAGAGTCCTGGGCTAGAAAAGCCCTCGTTTAATGCTCTCAGTGTGCTTACAGAGGGATAAAAAGTGGCACAGAATGACTGTAAACTGGCTCCAGTGGGAATGTGTGAGTGATAAAAGTGGACATAAACATAGCGGAGGCTCATTGTGAATGGACTGAGGTTTCACAGTAATATCACAGCGTAGAAGATCAAGGAAATAATAGCACAGCTGTTGTTTAGTGCATGATTCAGTGGCACAAATGCAGTAATATTAAGGATTGTTGGGAATTTTGAGTTAGTTGCTGATTAATCTTGCCTGTTAGGGTCTCAGTTTAAAATAATAATAATAATTTAAGTGTATAAACTGTGAAAAAGCACCAAGAAGTTTCATTTAGGATCCATGATAACTTCTAAAACTTCCACATTTTGTGCAACCAAGAGTACTAAACCCAAAGATGTTCAGTTTTCAATGTTGTAAAACAGATTAAAGCATCAGATCCTCACATTTGAGAAGCTGGAATCAGGAAATGTTCCATAAATAAGCCAAACTGTTTACTGATTATTGAAATTGTTGCTGATTAACATTCTGTTGCTGCTGAAGTCGACCGACTCACCACTTATTTTAACTCTTTAACTGTTCTGTTCATCCAAGAACACAGAATTTCACCTCTTTTACTCCCAGTGTTTGGTTTATTGATGATATCATACAAATTTAAAATGCTGGAAAACCAACATTTTACAGCCATTCAACATGTGACTTAAGAAATAAGAGAAAACACAAACTAAAAGCTGTAAAAATTTTATTATAAGCAAACAATGATCCATTTTTTCAGGAGGCAGATGGTCGACGGTTTCTAGTCACTCTCATACATCTGTTAGTACATCTGTTGTCTGACTTTTACTTCTGTTATCAGTTTAGTCAGTGGATTTTTTAAGTTTCGTGTAAACCTTGTAGTTTGTGTAACATCAAAAATAGCTGTAAAAGACCAAGATGATCTCTTCAAATGGCTCGTTCACTTTGGCAACTGAAAAATATTCAATATACATCAATAAAACACGAATAATCACACCTCAGAAGCTAGAAATAACTAATATTTTACATTTGTTTTACAGTCTAAACAATGAATCGGCTGGTTTTCTGTCATTTTACTCATCAAATGGTCCATCTTTTTACAATAATTTAAGATATCAGCCTTCTATTTGAGATCATCAGTGCCTATGTGGACAGTTTTCACTGTTATTTACTTTTGGCAGAAAGTAGTTCCCAATGAAAACATCTGTTGATTGTCAGGAATGACTGAGATTCTTCAGTACTGATGTGAAGATAGGAATTATTTCTTTGGCAAAAATACTCAAATTTACTGATTCCAGTTCCATGAATTTTGATTTTTTTTTCGTCAGTTTACTC